GAGAGGTATTCTTAGTTCTGTACCACTTGGTAAGTCCTTGGCTAAGGCAGGTGCTTAAATATGGGACATTTGTAAGCTAGTGTTAAATTAAAGGCCAATGTCTGGATTCAATTTAAATATTTAATTTTTTTTAAGTAATACATGTTTACTGATATATGTATTCAGTAATACTCATACATACTGAAAAACTTCAGACAGTACAAGTGGAGTATCCTTTGCTTGGCCTTTCCCAGAGGTGATCTCTTTTACCACTTTCTGTTATATCTTTTCAGACTATATCTATTCATGTATGATTTTATATAAAAAGAGATTTAAAAAATACGTGTCAGCATACTAAAAATATTGTTCATACATACCTTAACATTATATTTTCAGCATCTTTCTACATTAGTATATAGGCAGTGTTTCTCAAAGAGGGTGCCATTGGCATTTAAGTGAGAAGATTCTTAGTTGTATGCACTGTCTCATTCATTGTAGGATCTTTGCCCCCACTTTTTATATATCCACTAAATGCCAGTCACTTTTAAAATTACTATAGTATAAATGAGGATATTTCAAAAAGTTCATAGAAAGATTCATATTATCTTTTAATTCTATTCTGCAAATTTTTTGAAGTACCATCATATATTTTCTCTGTTCTGTTTCTGCTCCCATTGTTTTCTGCTGTTTATCTGACTGGCCTAAGTATATTTTATAGTTTGCAGACTCTCTGAACATATTTGGTAGGGCCTGTAACATTTTCATGATATTCTTGGGTTCTGTAGCTATTCCCGATACCTGTTTCTCCTTTAGTTTGATGCTAAGTAGTCCATTCTAACTATTCCTTGAATTGTGTCTGCTGTGGGTCTGCTTACTGATAAGAAATACCAGAAGACACAAAGGTGGAGGGTTCAATCCCTGTACCAACCAGCCACCAAAAAAAAAAAGAATGCCAAAAGTACCTTCAAAGCTGTATGTCCTCTTAAGGTCTACCTGAAAAAAATGTGCGGTTCTCCTAACTGAGCAGATAACAGACAGTAGAAAGATGTAAAAGAATGCTGTTTTCATGTTCCAGTTGTATTCAGAATAAACTTTTGAATCAGAAGGAAATGAGAACTGTGATGCGTTGCTCTGAGACACCTTTTATTGTTTTCTTTTATAAGGTATGAGGCTTTTTATTTGAAGGAATTTGAGACTCTAGATACTGTAGAAGTTTGATTTTTTAAAATTCTCGGTCAATGGGCCAACCCTGTTGCTCACTCAGGAGAGTGTGGCACTGGTAGTGCTTTGGCTATGGATCCTATCTACAGACGTCCGGTGCACACACTGGCTGAGCGTGGTGTGGACCACACCATACCAAGGGTTGCAATCCCTTTACCGGTCAAAAAAAAAAAAACTCTGTCTATGAGAGAAGGCTTTATAGCAATTTATAGTTTATCAATAAACCTTGTAATCAGAGGTTGAAATAATGTTGAAACATAGAGAACTGTACCACTTCTGGGGTTTTGGAGAAAAGCATTAAATAGCTAATAATGGACTATAAAATATATATATACATACATCTTTATGTCAGGTTTGAGATAGGGGAACCTTGTCTGTGCTCAAGTTAGAAGGTAAAGAAGGAAGGAGGGCACTTTTTTGGATCAAGAAAAGGTTACAGTTTCTGACAGAAGCAAGCAGTAAAGGTGATTCCTTTAATGGGGGAAAAGAAGGCTTTTATTTTCTAATTAGAGAGGATAAAATTTAGAGTGAATGAGTGTAGACATTGTACATTTTTATTTAGTCTGTGGGTGCTGATGACTGGATTTTAGGGAATAGAAATGAAGAGAGCTGGAAGACTTGGACATTTTGCAAATATGTATGTGGAGGGAGAAGAGCAGATAAAGGGAAGCAATGGTGGAAGTGGGATAGGAAAGACTCAGATGAGGAAGGTTGTGTGTAAAGAAGCTGAAGCTACAAGACGAAAACATTTGTTGTATATTGTCTAGGGTTATAGAAATGCTTTATTTGAAGCTGCAAGTAAAATTGCAAATTGAATAATATTGTTGAATTTTATATTTGATTATTGAGGTATTAGTAATGTTTCCGATACAGAGAATTTAAGATAGATTCCAAGTTTTGTATATTTATATGTTTTTAATCTTTTGGTGTCTCTTCTTTGGTTCACAGTCTATGTTGCTTTTTTCCCCTTTATCATTTAAGGAAGAACTTCAGATATCACTTTTAAAACTGAGCAATGACTACGAAGTAATGAAAAGTACAGCTGCAAGAAATATGAGATTGGATTCAGAATTCCAAGACTTAAGACTTAGTCTGGAGGCAAAGGAACAAGAACTCAATCAGAGTATTAATGAAAAGGAAATACTGCTATCCAAGTTAGGAGAATTGGAGAAACAGAAACAAGAAGCAACAAGGGTAATTTTATATTAAAGACAGTGTGGTAGCACATTTTACTCAGTAGACTGAACACTGGGTTCACATGTAAAAAAGATGGGCATAATTTAATTTTGTGATTTAATTACTATTTTAGTTCACTGATGCTCTACTCATAGGAATTGCCAAATACTAAAGTACTTTTGACTTTACAGACCATATAGTCTCATTTGCAACTACTCAACTCTGCTGTCGTGAAAGAGCGTGGCCGTGTTTCAATACGATTTTATTTACAGAAAGAGGTGCAGGCCTGATTTGGCCTCTAAGATGTAGTTTGTTGATTCGTGCTCTAGTGTTTAAGAGTTGAACATAAATAACATATATTGTCTCCCTTCTTCGGAAAAATGGGCTTGCTGTAAGGTATTAGTAAATACCTTTGTAGGGGATATCGGGATAGGAAAAAGGTTGTTTTTAAGAAAGATTAGAAATATCTGAGGATAATTCTATTACGTATGAAATTTTGTGAAATTTTTTTTATGTACCAAAATAAGAACATTTTGTAACATTACCATGCAAATTAATTTTTCTTTCAGCACATTTTTTTTATAATAGATCAGCAATCAAAACAACAAAATGAAGGAGATATCATTATCAGTAAACTGAAACAAGGTCTAGACGATGAAAAAAAGATAGTTCGTCAACTTGAGGATGAGAAAATGAACCTCACTAAAGAGTTAGACAGACAGAAAGAACAGTTAATTCAAAGTGAACTGGTCCTGAATGATTTGCTTTTAATCAAGGAGGAGCTTGAGGATAAAGCAGAAGATTTAGTAGATCAGCTAAGTAAATCACAAAAAAATAATTCAACCATCCAGAAGGAGAACCTTGAACTTAAGGAACATATTAGACAAAATGAGGAAGAGCTTTCTAAAGTCTGGAAAGACTTAACTCAGTCTCTTCATCAAGACTCTAATAGTACTTTTAAGGATAACCTACTTAAAGATAGGGAAGCGGAAGTTAGACACTTAAAGCAAAATCTTTCAGAAGTAGAACAGCTCAATGAAAATTTAAAGAAAGTTGCTTGTGATCTGAAAATGGAAAATGAAAAGTTGGTTTTAACATGTGAAGATGTAAGGCATCAGTTGGAAGAATCTGTAGCTGGGAACAGTCAGATTTCTCTGGAAAAAAACACTCTTGTTGAGACTCTAGAAGTGGAAAAAGGAGAGCTAGAAGCAGAATTGTGTCAGGCTAAAGAGAGGCTGTTGGAAGAAGCAAGCAAGTATGAGAAAACTTTGAAGAACTATCAAATGCACATAACTCGAGCACCTCTGCCTTACAGCTGGAACATCAGCGTCTGATTCAACTCAGTCAAGAGAAAGACTTTGAAATAGTAGAACTCAAAAAGAATATTGAGCAAATGGATACCGATCATAAACAAACTAAGGAAATGTTGTCATCTAGTGAAGAAGAGCAGAAGCAATTGGCAGAAGTTATAAAGGAAAAAGAACTTTTTATTGAAAAACTTAAAGAAAAGTGTTCAGAGCTGCAGGAGGAAGTAGATAAATATTCTCAGGCCTCAATGCCAAATGAAATTTTAAGGCAGACCATAGAGGAAAAGGACAGAAGTCTTGGAGCCGTGAAAGAAGAAAACAGTCATCTGCAAGAAGAACTGGAACAACTCAGGGAAAAGCAGAGTCAAGCTGCACCTGTGGCTGAGCCCAAACCACTTGATAGTATTACAGAACTAGAATTGGAGGTATCTCAAGTGAATATAATCAAGGATCATCTTGAAGAGGAAATTAAACATCAACGGAAGATAACTGAAGATCAAAACCAGAGTAAGATGCAACTACTTCAATCTTTACAGGAGCAGAAGAAGGAAACGGATGAGTTTAGATACGAGCATGAGCAAATGAATGTCACACACACCCAGGCCTTTTTAGAGAAAGATGAGGAAATTAAGAATTTGCAAAAAGCAGTTGAACAAATCAAAACCCAGTTGCATGAAGAAACACAGGACATTCAGACAGAGAATCCTGATATTTTACAAGAAACAAGAGTTCAGAGCCTTGATATAGAAAATGGAAGTGAAAAGCATGATGCATCTAAAGCTGAAACTGAAAGATTAGTGAAAGAAATAAAAGAACGAGAACTAGAGATTAAACTTCTAAATGAAAAGAATATATCTCTAACTAAACAGATCGATCAGTTGTCCAAAGATGAGCTTGGTAAACTAACTCAGATTATCCAACAGAAAGATTTGGAGATAGAAGCTCTTCACGCTAGAATTCTATCTTCAGCTTCCTACACCCAGGATATTATGTACCTTCAACAGCAATTGCAGGTCTATGCTATGGAAAGAGAACAAGTATTAGCTGTTTTTGATGAGCAGACTAGGGAAAATAGGCATCTAAAAGCAGATTATCATAAAATGATGGATATAGTTGCAGCCAAAGAAGCAGCCCTCATTAAGCTGCAAGAGGAAAACAACAAATGGTTTGCAGCCAAAGAAGCAGCCCTAGGGAAAATAGGCATCTAAAAGCAGATTATCATAAAATGATGGATATAGTTGCAGCCAAAGAAGCAGCCTCCATTAAGCTGCAAGAGGAAAACAACAAATTGTCCACTGGATTTGAGCATAGCAGCCAAGATATGTTTAGAGAAACTGATCAGAATTTATCACGTATCATTCGAGAAAAAGACATTGAAATAGATGCATTAAGTCAGAAA